TAATAAATAAAATTTTAAATCATAAGTTGTAAAACAATTGTGAAAAATAAACACAAAAATAAATTCTTTTTTAACACAACAAACAATAGAAAACTAATATTTTGGTAGTTTTTGTTTAATATCACATGTAGTTTCAACCCAATATAAGAGACATTAAATTTGCTTTTATAGTACTTTAAATCACAAAAGAAATATTATGTTTTATTATATATGCTTTTATATATTATATATGCTTTTATTCTTAAGAAAGACATTTAAACGCATAACAAGTTTTTTGGACATTATTTTCCGTCTGTAATAAGACTGAAAGAGAAATTCATTTTAATTTATAGCGAAAATCAAAGCATTGAAGTGAAAATTGCTAACAATATTGTGACCCATATTTATATTGATGATATGCTAGTGATGGACACAATTTCTAATGCTTTGACAACAAAACTAATGATAACTGCAATTGAATCGCAAATGAGATGACATTTATATTTGGTATTCACTATAAGAATCTCGGAATACATGACACAACTCTGAAAATTCTTGAAAATGTAATGCAATTCTTTAGGGACTCGTTATTCATAGTAACTGTTTGTGTGATTATATATAATGTGGTTCTCAACAAACAAATAAAAAAAACTTTTAAATCAAAGTTACATTCATTTCATCAAAAATAATAACAAACAAAAAGAGGAGAAAATAATTAATTTTAAGAAATTTTGAATAAATTATAAACGAGTGATGAATAGAAATACATTAATCATACGAAATGAATGAACAGTTTTTTGTATCTATAAATAAGCGTTAAATAATAGAAATAGTGTTAAATCGATCGAAACGTTATGTCCAAAACTGCAAAACTTAAGTGCATTGCATTGCATTGCAATCATTAAATACATTTTAGCACAAATTGTTTCAAATTGTTTGGAAAAACACAATCTCTTTAAATCTCTTTTACTGTTTTGAAGGATAAAAGACACCGAGTCTTCCGATCACTTAATATATCTGTCAAACACTGAAATAACTCTTAAATATTTTATATAATAAAACATTTAATTTTACGTTTGAATCAATTAACCAGAAAATAAAGGGCTTATAAAGAAATCTCAAGATTTTCTTTATGTTTTGAGTGTTTTTCAAGAATTTCCTCTATAAATGTGAACTAACTGTTAAGACCTTATGTTTAATCACAGCATCAGATGCTGTGAATCACAGTTTGTGATGAACTCTCAAACTTTAAGAGCTTTTCCTTTTCATATAATGATAATAATAATAACAGTTTGTTTGCATTCATTTAAATTTAAAATTAAGTCCTAATGGGATCACAAACAAAGATTTAATTTATTTTATACTACATTAGTCTCATTACAAAATTGAGAGACACTGTAAAATTCTGTGTGTATTTAAACATAAATTATATCATTTGCCTAAAAAAGTTTTAGATCCTTAAATGAAATGCACTGACATATCACTATATTACGTTATTAGATGTAAATTAAAATATAATATATTATGATAAAAATGTTAAACCATTAATCCATAAAGAATTACAATTTATATGAAATTCTGTTAGATTTCTGTCGAAAATATATAACATATTTTGATTGGATTTGAAATTTTCAGACTTATTAACCACATGTTACGACTCGAATGGAGAGCCAAATGTAACCGTTTATGGGAAACACTCGGGAACTGAAATACTGAATCCCATTCAGAACTTCACGTATGACTTCTTCAAACAGTTTTTTACTGAAGTCAAGACTGTATTTGCAGATGAGTTCATACATTTGGGTTCGTATTGACTGTCTATTCCTTTGTTTGTTCACTCAATTCACTGCAATTGTCTGCTGAGAATTGAGTCAATTTTTATTTAATGAAGGCATGGATGAGGTCTACTATGAGTGTTGGGAATCTAATCCAGAAATTAAGAAATTTATGCACGACTTGAATATGACTACAACAGCACAGTTGGAACAGTATTACGTTAAGAGAACCCTTGAGAATGTCAAGAAAATTGGCTACAAATACATGACTTGGCAGGACCCGGTTGATAACGGGGTCGAGGTTTATATCTTATTTATTCACTATAAAAGACATTAGAAAGCAGAATAAATGAGTTGATGGAGAATCATATATTGAACACACCTTTCATATGATTACAGATGGCATCGGATTCTGTGGTACAACTGTGGAAAGACACCGAATTAGGACCTATTTATAAGCCGTGGGGGGAATACATCAAACCTATCGCTAAGAAGAAGTACCAAATGGTGTTGTCCTCGTGTTGGTACCTCAACTACATCAGCTATGGACAGGACTGGAAAAAGTATTATAACTGCGATCCACATAACTTCACTGGTATTTAACTAATAATAATAATAATTATTATTATAATATTATTATATATTATTATTATTAATTAAATTCTGTGTTTTCTAATTAGAAAATTATTTTAATTTTTAGGCACAACAGAGGAGAAGAACCTAATTATCGGAGGTTTTGATTAAAGCAAATACTTTTTATGTGAAGTTAAATATTTGTTTATTTCTCTCTCAATGTTAGGCGAAGCGTGTCTTTGGAGTGAATACGTCGACGGAACTAATCTTTTGGCTCGACTTTGGTATAGATTTTGCAAAATTTATTTTGTATTATACTGTATATAAGAATTATAAACGAGGTTAATTCTAGAAAAATACTCTACTGTACTGTATATACTGTAATCATAACACTAGTCCGGTACTGTTGTTCAATGTTTAATGAGTCTATAATTATTTTATAGATTAACCCAATGTATAAAGAATTTATCTCTTTAACACAGAATTTGTTGACAACTAATGAAATTTAGTTTAAAATTTAGGATAAATTTCAAGAATTACAAATAGAATTACTAAAACCAAATCAATTATTGTTAGCACTGTCATAAATTTTGATATAAATATTAGTATGTTATGTATTTAAGGATTATTATTAGGAATCTAAAAATTTAAACAAATGTGAATGTTAGCCGTTTGACAGATTTCACAAATATTGTTTACACAAATATTTCACAAGAATTTCATTTCAAGCATATGTGTCAACACAACATATATAGACCTAACATGTAAGATGCTGAGAGTATATTGACACTTTACTTTATGTCCACTTTTGCTCTCTGAGATTAGATCACATGATGTGGTCATCATTCACTCATTCATTGAATTGAAAAGACAATTAGTCTCTAAATGTAATTATCATCAGTTATTTGTTTATAACATAATAATAGAGACAAACTAACAGTAGTTACAAGTATTGCGAGGAATGTATAGGAAATCCTTAATATTCAGTGAATGTCACGATCAGTCGTGCACTCATTGTCTCTCGTGTTATCTCTTTCATTGATTTACAACAAAATCCTTTCGTTTCTTCAAAAACAAGCATTTCTTAAATAATTACGAAACTGACGTAAAATCGATTTCCTTTTAATAATAACAAACTCCTCATTAATTAAAAAAACTTTTTTTTATGAAAAAGATATTCATTCTTAAGATTGAATCTCTTATTTAAATTAATTATTGAACTGTTTTTGTGACGAATGAGTTGTCAAGAAAGGAAAGGAAAGCAAATACAGAGCAGACAAATGAAACACTAATTCAATTGTCGGCAACAAAAGAGTAATTACTGTTACAAAAAGTGATAAAGTATTTTGAATAGTTATTTTGAATGAAACATTTTGGCGAATAATATATCATAAGCTCTTAATTAGATTTCTAAAGATTAATTGTGATTATGAGAATTGAAATAAATATTTAATTCCTAACCAAAAGCTAAGCATAAAACAGACAAAATTAATTTCCAATGAAAATCACATTTAATTGAAACCAAATTAAAAGTCTCTAAAAATACATCTGAAGGCCGAGAGCGTCAGCAGTGGCGGAGAAACTGTGGAGTAATCCGTTGGATACGGACAACACGGATAGCGCTCAGTTCAGACTGGATGAGCACCGGTGCCGAATGCTCAGGTAGTATACCTTACATTCATATCTCAATTAACAACTAATTTAAGGATTTATCAAACAGAAGGGGAATTCCGGCGCAACCCATACTTAATGGCTTTTGTGGTGATTACGAGTGGAGTACTTCCATCACAAAGACTTATGATAACCATCGGAAAGACATCACAAACTATTCGTGTAATACTTTCAAATATAATGGATACCTCACTATTGTCTGTATAATATTCGTGAAGCTAATAGCAATTATTTTGAATGACTATTGAATTGTATAAATTATTTTTCTAATACCAAATAAAACAATGTTATTTTTATAATGCCATGTAACACAGAAAATAAAATAATAAAAAACTATTCATTTGTTTGAATTGAAAAATAAGTTTATTTACTCAGAAATAGCTATTAAAATGAAACTTACGAAATGTTTCGCACATATATTACAAGAAGTGAAATAAAACTTGAAAAACTTTTGTGTTTTATAAAGTTTTCAATTAATTAAGTTAAATAATTGTTGAGAGAAAACAAGTTCCCTGTATATTGTGTTTCATAAGTGAAACGGTAATTCACGTAAGAGTTTAGTGAACTTTATACTAAATTTATATTCACTAATATAAATTTATTTAAATTTCTATTTTAATGAATTAAAAGTCATTGAATTAGAAATATTAATTACTGTGCGAAACATCTTTTATACGCAAAATTTGCGGAAATATATGTAAAATAAAAATTTACTTCAAGTGTAGCTATAAGTAAACTGCAGGTAATTGTGTGTATTTTTCTCATAGACTTCACGTTATTGTGAGCATCAGTTTAATTAACTCTTAATTACCTATTCTTATGCATCAACTTTTGCCTATACTTTAACATTGTATGCAATGGTTGTGCAATAATAACCATTAGAGGGCAACACATGTTTGGCGTAAATGTAGTGAAAATCCTTCAAAAGTGAGACAATTATACAATTATTTTGGTTACGAAATAGACTGAGAAATACAGTTAACTATAGCTGTTATGACACCAAAACACCACTCATTCAACGCAACACTCATTGTGTTTATCAAGACTTTTGCGATAAAAACAAATATTTGATTTGAAAGCCAGTGTTTCGTGAATCCGAAAATTTGAATGCATGTCAACAATTGGCTGCATTCGTGAGCCATAACTGGGGAGACAGTGGTTGGGAAGGGTATGTCTGTGTTGATGATAACGGCGTTTGTCTGTAACTCCGTGTTTGACAATACGTTGAAAGCTATGAATCATTTGAATGATTGACTCATTCATAGCTACAGTGTTTACACGAGTACTCAAAACCAGTGTTTGGACACCAATTGCGATGGCATTCAGTGCTCAAGACTAACACGAAGACAATAACCAACTCAGAGCTGACCAGTGATGCAGAACCAGTCGAATATGATCTCGTCGTCGAGTGGTTCCCACCGTCGAGTGGCCTCCAACTCGTCGACGTCTTCGGGCAACTGTCAGACCACTAATAAGGAGCTCTTAAAGCCGTTATCTCTGGCGGAATGCGTGGCCGACGGCTGTCCACCGCCAACGCTGGCCCTCAACGACAAAGTGGTCTGGATATCAGACATGGGGCCGGAGTTTGGTTGCGTGAAATGGTTGGGCAAACTGCCGGACGTGGGCACCGACTGGATGGCGGGCGTGGACTTCGTGAACGCCGTCGGCTCGGGAACCGGTCTTTACAACGATCACCAGCTCTTCGAGACCCGTCTCAATCACGCGTCACTCGTGCCCGTCATTGGGCTTATGAAAGCGCACGACTACTTGGGCGCCTCCAATGCCTCCAACCCTCCCATCCCATCGCACGGACACCACTTCGCCCACAACACACCCGTCCCTCAGAAGCCGAGGCGAACGAAGGCTAATAAGAAGGAGTCCGACCTCAAGGGCGACGATAAGAGGGTTTCCATGCCATCCGGCCATAAGTCGATGGCATCCGAAGTGAATCCAATTGAATCTCATTCGGTAGCCATCGTTGATATGAATAAGTCGTCTCATAATAGCAGTAATCATATAAATACTAACCACTCATCCAAAGCGAAACCAATAAACTCATCGATCGTGTCGATCACCAACACATCCAACTCATTGAACACACACTCGACGTCTGAATCGCCGTTAAACTCAAGTCTTTCATCGCATTTAACTGAAAAGCAACCGAAGGTTTCGGACAAAGAAGCGTTCAATTCGTGGAACAACTGTTTGTCAGAGGATGTGAGGGATGGACTCACTCATGTGAATGGGTTGAGTGGACACGACTTCGAGATCGGATCAGTTGTTGAGCTGAACATCGATGGTATCTCGAGGTATGGTGTCGTCCAATGGATCGGACCATTGGCTGTGCCTTCAGACGAAAACCACGAACCGAGCGATTGTCTGATGGCTGGCATCGAACTGGAGGAGGAGGTGAACGGCCTATCGGACGGCACGTACAACGGGAAGCGATACTTCGATTGCGCCCCAAGAAAGGGGTATTTCGTGAAACTAAGTCATTGTCTGAAAGACAGTCGCTTTGCATCGATGTCTGAGCGCAGGAGAAGTGCTTTATTCGGGAGTATAGACTGTCCGACAGTGACGGGTGATGTGCCGCCGCTCAGCACCAGCGATGACCTGCAGGCCCTGTGCGGCAAAAACCGGGGCATTCAGGGCCACCACAACTCGTGCTATTTGGACGCCACCCTCTTCTCGATGTTCTCGTGCACCACAATCTTCGAGTCACTGCTGCACCGCCCGCCCCGTCCCACAGACATCCCGGAGTACAAAGAGGTGCAGCGAGTCCTCAAAGAGGAGATCGTTAACCCTCTTCGCGCTAACCTTTACGTGAGGGCCGACCGAGTGATGCATTTGCGGACACTTCTCGAGAAAATCAGTTCAGTTCGCGGACTGACGAGCGAGGAGAAGGATCCCGAAGAGTTTCTCAACCTTTTACTCAATGAGATTTTGAAGGCTGAGCCCTATCTGAAGCTCAGCTCTGGTTTGGAGTCGTTTTTCTATCAGTTGTTCGTCGAGAAGGACGAGAAGCTGACACTTCCGTCAGTCCAGCAGCTGTTCGACCAGTCATTCCTGGCGTCGGACATAAAACTGCGAGAAGTGCCGCCCTGTCTGCTCATCCAAATGCCGAGGTTTGGACGACAGTTCAAAATGTATCCGCGAATCGTTCCGAGTCTTTATCTCGACATCACCGACGTCTTGGACAACAGTCCGCGTCAGTGCGCGATATGCGGCCAATGCGCTGAATACGAGTGCAAAGAATGCTTCGGTCTCTTCGGCGAGGGTCTCGACAGTACAGCCTTTTGCGGCAAATGTATCGATAAAAACCATTCGCATAAGAAACGCTCCAAACATAAGACAACCAAACTGTCGATTCCGGCCGAGTTTCATATGTTGAGAGAGCACTCGCAGGTGCCCAGGATTTACATGGAGTTGTTCGCCGTCTTATGCATCGAAACGAGGTATGAACTCGTGTGAAACAGCTTTACTATTGTTTTTGGATTAATTAATTGACTATTTGTTTGACTTAACAGCCATTACGTATCGTTTGTGAAGTGTGGGTCAGGCCCTGACAGCCCCTGGTGTTTCTTTGATAGTATGGCTGATCGTAAAGGTACGGTACTTTCGATAACTCAATGCAATACCATTACAGCCCATAATAGACGCTCATTTGCATTACAGGTGAACAAAACGGTTATAATATCCCAGAAGTGGTGTCGTTCCCCGACTTGAGGTATTGTTTGTTGTTATGGTAGATATGATAAGAGTGGAAATGTATTAACTCGTGTGCCCTTGAAATGAATGTGTCCTTCGATTAGGTGGTGGCTCAGCGAAGAAGGAACTGCTTTCCTATTGAATACAAAGGACGACAAAATGTTACCCGAAATGCCGAGACGCCTGTTCTCTGACGCCTACATCTGTTGGTACGCGTCGGATGTGTTGAGATACAGATGAGAGGGAAAGGCATGATTGTGTAGATCGCAAGCCTTTGCCTGCAATTAATTGCTTTATTAATAGCATTATAGACTCGTTTTGATGCTCTTTTGTCACGCAATCAAACACTTTAGAAATTACTTCAAAACTTATCGAAAACTAGTTTATAGTTATATTCAATGAATTCAAGGAATAAACAGATTTTATCGGTTTTTGGGCAACTTTTAGCTTTTGTTTAATACAGTAATATACAGATTGTATTATATTTTACAAATAGTTTTTAAAAATTTTATGTAATTATTGATTTTATTAGGAATCAAATCAAATGTTTGTTAGTTTATATTTAAGCACAAAAGAGATCTATTATATACCTTATATTAAAAGTACAGTACTTGTACGGTATATCTAACTTATTATGGTATGAAATGTTTTCAAATTGACTTCGAATGACTATTTGTATGAAATTGTACTGTATTATAATATTATAATTTTGGCAATGGATAGTCATTACGTGATTGATATGATTTGTCATCAGAGAACAAATGTGTATTTAATGTATGTTTCACTTAAACAACATAATCACTACTAATGTAATGTCAGAATAATTCAGAATTAACTTAAAAGATTAAAACTATATATTATATAATAATTATTAAAAATGATTGAAAAAAATAAAATTATATGAATACAGGATTCAAACACAACTACTGTTATCGTATGTTTTACTTTAACTAAATATTGATCTAAATATTTAGTGAAATCTCTGCAACACAAATGGTTATCGTTTAATGAGAATATTAACGACAACTGTATCTTACGTTAAGGTATTTATACAAAAGGACTTCATATCATATACTGTAGTGTTTTATATTATCAGTATATAAAACATAACACTTTTGGTATTGATTTAGGAAAGTGAGGAAAATTTAGAGAAGAGATTCTTATCTAAACGTCATCCATGTCTAAGTCAACGGGCGTGTAGTCGGTCGACAGGCCCTCGTAATCATCCATTTTGCTACAAAAATCAGTTATCAATTGTTTTATATATGACACGAGAAAATAAATCATATGAATGTCAAGCATTGAAATTATTAACAACTCATAGAGAAGCTGAATGGGAGGGCAGACGGCATACCTGATTGCGCGATACGTCAAAAAGACAATGCGTTTGAGTTTCTTCGAGTAGAAAAAGTAATTATAAGACCAAAGACACCCGTCCTCTCCATACGGATCAGAATTGAGGTCAGGATTATAACTATTGTACACCAAGAGACACAAAAACAATAAATCACTTTAATATCGATTTTCTCTCTCTCTCTCCCTCACAAGGCCTACAGGTATTGATGGCATGAGTGGACACCACCGATGAGACACTGATTGCACGACTCATTTACAGCCGAAGCGCGAGCGATGGTGACGGAGAGGGCGGACACCTGTGCGACACAATCAGCCGCAAGACTCTCTTCTATCTGATCGCCACTCTTAACGCTTCCCATCCGGACTACGACTTCAGTCTCTCTCTCTCTCTCTCTCTCTCTCTCTCTAATACCATATTATAGAATAAGTAGTTTTGAGTTATGTATTGAATTCACTTTATTTTGTAACTCAAACCATGTATTTATTTAAAAGTGTTTGAAAGGGAAAGTGTTTGTGAGGAGGAACGGGAGTGTATGAGCACTTGCCTGTATATATCGCACTCGGATAGTGTGATCTCACTATCAATTGCTGACCAAAGCTGAGCCTTCACTGAGTTGTAGGCCTGACGGGCAGCTGTGCTAAAGAAGTTGGAGTCGACCGCATCCATAACCCACTGAAACCAGACAATCAATATATAGTGACTGTACATAAGTCTAATCAATATTCATAACCATCTAAATAATGGTCTAATGATAAGCACAAGAATAGACTAAATGTCACACAATTTGATCCTAATTTAAGCCATTTTTATCGATTGCTTTCGTGAACTCATTATTCAAAACACATTTTGTGTCTAATCTATAATACAATGGATTAATCATTCATACGATTATTGATTAGTGGTGTGCAGTGAAGGTATGCAAAGGATTGGTATGTAAAGTGTGGTGTGAATGGACTGGCAGTGCATACCTTAATACTGGGCTCTTTGCTGAACTCATCGCTCCTGGAGTTACTGAAGTCGTAGTCCGGATGGGAAGCGTTAAGAGTGGCGATCAGATAGAAGAGAGTCTTGCGGCTGATTGTGTCGCACAGGTGTCCGCCCTCTCCGTCACCATCGCTCGCGCTTCGGCTGTAAATGA